AGTAAAATTACTGAAACTACTGAAACTTCTTAACGTATTGAACCTATTGAACTTACTGAACCTACTGAAACTACTGAAACTACTGAAACTACTGAAACTACTGAAACTACTGAAACTACTGAAACTACTGAAACTACTAAAACTATTGAAACTACTGAAACTATTGAAATCATTAAAATTGTTGAAACTATCGAAGCTATTAACAGAAATGATTACGATCGATCGAGGATCAGGCACGGCGATCCTCGATGCCCCGAGGACCCGTTCGAGCGAGATAATCCGCTCGTCCTAGCCTCATCCTTTCGTCGAGTCCCTCGTTTCGGCGCAGCTTGTTCAGCGGACGCTCTATTAAAGACGAGCGACTGCGCTTAATGGCGTCCCGCAGCCGAAGGGGCGAGGGTGCGATAATTAAAAGCGGCTCTCGAACCGAGCCGAGCTGTCCGGACAGCGCGTCAGCTTTTCACCGACTCTCGACACGCTCTCTGATGCCGGTGTTACGAAACAACGCCCGAGAAACGAACTACGAATTACGGCCGTTGATCAGATAGTACGAGGATACTCGGCGTGAAATTCGCTGGGAATTTCGCAGCGATTCGCTGAACGCGCTCTTCGTATTCCAGAACTGGGAAACTCCTGGCTGGGTCGAGAGTCAACGATTACATTGATTCACGAAATTTAACTCCTTTTTTTGTCATAGAAAGTTTAGTGGTTGACTTGATAGTGTTTCTTATGCTGAATTCGAATATTTGATCCGTGTTTCTCCATTACTCACAATTTTTGAGAAAATCCTTTACATCGGGACATCAAAATGTTAAAAATATTTTAAAATATTCACTTAGTGGATCTGAAAACTATTTATTTACAAACACTAGGTATTAAATTAGTCCTAGTGAAGAACTTTGTTAGGATAATGGATCGCCACAACGGAGGGCATTATATATACTTCAACGAAACATTGTCTTCCGTTTCATAAAAGTTTCATTATGGTCTTACCGACAATTATTACCGATAATACCTGAAGGCAAAATTTTTAAAAATACCGATAATACCAGTACTGGTACAACTGATAATGTAATCTCTTTAATTACAACAGATGACATTGGTCTACTATATTTAACTGTTTTTTTGTTGTAAAAGACATAATATTAAGATAATAGACATAATAAAAGACATAATTTATAGTATTTCTTAATATGAATTTGAATACGCAATTCGTTATCCTCCATTACCCACAGTTTTTGAGGAAATCAATTTTGAGGGATACTGGACTGCATTATCAGTTCTACCACTATTGGTATGGTCAGTATTTTACAAAATGTTGCATTTTGGTGTTATTGGAGAAATTGTACGCAAAATAGAACGTAAGTAATAAAAGAATGTAAATATATAGATAATACAAATATCTATGTAAAGAAAGCTAACACATTTACATGGATAACCGGGCTGTTTACGGCAGCGTTGCATTTCAGGAGACACATGTTGATATTGAATTTCACTGTCGGTACCTTACGTTTCGTGCAATTATTTTTCATCCTCAATTGAAAACGAAATGTGCTATGGAATTTTTTTCAACGGATTTAGCAAGATTAGTGTTTACTCTATCGCATGCTGAAATTAGATTTTCTCCTAGGCGCTTAGTTTTTAAGATAAATTGAAAAATATCTGCACAAATCAGTGCGTTTCGTGCGCCGTTTTGCTTTTCAGCATTGTTTAAACATGTTTAAATGTTTTTCATATTGTTAAAATTTACATCATTGCGTTCAGAAAGTTCCATAGAATAATACTAACATGACCTATTAAACCTCTTGTGACAAAAATCGTGTCGACCAGTATTATCAGTGAACTCTACGTCTGCGATTACAGTTCGTTTGCGAATGTATTTATTCGCGTTCTTAATTCTAGACACTGCTCGAAAGACACAAAAGAAAAGAAATAGAAAATGGAACATTTTTTTCTATATGTACCCCGTGAAACCAATATCACCATACAAGATGAAACTTCAGTAGTTCAACCTACATTTCCTCGTGAACATACGTTAATATACATAATCAACTATTTTCTGATAAATTCTTAGACTTTCGTCTACCATAATTATTCAAATAATTCTCTACCTCTACACATCACAGCTATCCTCATCTCTGTAAACTAGAAAACACACGATACCAAACTAACGAAGCAAAAATCGCAGTCGGTAGGAACAGTAACACAATCAGTATCTTGCACCGGCGTCGTCTGTAGAGTTAATAAGAGATCAATCATCGAATTCGTCGTTGAATCGTGACACGGGAACGAACAAGCGAGTTGTTAGAGAGGTGTCAGACGCCCTTCAAGCACAGGGAACGTTTAGCGGTGCTAGGAGCCGCGCGAGGCTGATTGGACGCGTTAATATCGGGTCAGTGTGTCAGAGTGTTCCACCAGGGGGTGAGATCGCGGCCCTTCGCCGGCACAAAGGAGCCCAAGCCTCGCCTCCTGCGACGTCACGTCGCAGAGGGGTGAAAAGTAGAGTAGAGAAGGGCGTTCGAAGGGACGCGGAGGGTAGAGAAGGGCGACGAGAAGCGGGTGAGCTCTCTCGAGGACCTCCAATCGAGTTTTCCGCTGTCAGTGGCTGCTGGTCGCCGGCGTGGAGGGCGCGGGCTGGCTCTCGGACCCATTCAAGCGACTTAAAACACTGAATAGCCCGGACGAGACAATGTCGAAGGACCGCGGTCGGCTGGATAGTGCTCTTTAAGCTCGAAATTCAATTCGAGACTCGATTACGCTGGAAAATGTAGATACGGAGGGACGAAGATTGAGCGTGATTCAGACGTTCACATTTAACCTCTTGCTTTTGCTACCCCTTTCATAATGCACTACTTTGTTCCACAGAAAAATACAATTCTCTTAGCTGCTACAAATTTTACACAATTATTCTGAAGTTGAAACATTTGTACGAAAATAACGCTTCATTTATACTTGATTATAATTCGCGTTGCTTGCAGATGATTCAAACTTAGCAAGAAACGGGAACATCCTCTAGGCTGGAGACTATATCTGCAGAGAAGCTTCATAGCAATAGATTATTTATCGAAGGATGGATCGAGAGCGATCGAGACGCCACGCTCTTCGAGAGCAACCTTTAAAGCACTCGCCCGTCGAGACGAATTACCGGAACGAGAGGATGAGGGGCGAGCGGGCGGGCAAGAGGAGGGCGCGGGTCCTGAGTGCTCAATAATAAATAGCATTTTGACTGTCGGATATTCAATTCCCGACTCCCGGTTTCACCGAATAAAAAGCGAGAAAAAGGAGACAGCGACGCCAGAGAATGGAGAAGCACAGGGAAGATCCGTCGGCGGTTGTCTCTGCCGACCGTGAAAGGGCATTTAAGGTAAAAGCAAACGCGGATTCGCGCGCAGGATCGATCGATCGGATGACGTACCGGATCCGTCGATGGAGTATCCCGGATTCAATGGAGTGGGAAACCTTTTCGCGCAGGACGGTCGCTAATTACCGGCTCCGCACAATGTCCGGCGATTGCACGGTCGATACCGCGCGAGAATCGCTGCGTCGGCGGGACGGGGCGGAGAACTCGAAAGGAAACGCTGGTCGCGGCAACTTTTCTGCCGTCTCCTGTTTGCGCAGGGCGGGACGATCATTCTCGCTGTTTTCGTTGAATAGGAGGGTGGTAATATTATTTGTCGTGGATTGATTGCGGATTATTCGGTAAATATTCATGGAGATCTGATTTATGTGTATAAGGACTTGGAATAGGAGGAGAATTTGTGCGTGCTGGTAACCCTTAGCACTTGGTAAGAGAATTATAACACTGAATATTTACTGTAAATTATATGAGACGATTCGATTCGCGAAATATTATAATACAAACTGTTCCCTGATTTATGTATTTATGCGTGATTTTTGTTTATGTTGGTTGTCAAGAATATTATCGGTATTCGTCGATAAGTGGCGGTTATTTGTAGTGGAAAGTCTTTCGAGTGCACAGAGTTAAGAGTTGGGCTCGGAATAAAATAAGAAAGTGACTGGAAGGTAGGAAGATTGAAAAGCGGAAAAGGACAGTGTTGAGTCAGACGGGTCGAAGTATAGTGTGCACTTGATGTTCAAGTAACTGTGGAAAAACAAGAAACTCAATATTTTGTCGAATGGAGTTTGACTTTCAAGGGCATCGAGTGTTTGATCATCGTTGGTCGATTCTACTTACCTCAGTCGCGGTTCGGTACGCGTGTTTCCATTCGTTTTATCATAGACACAGTGAATTTTCCGCTCCGTCGCATAAAAAGTATCTTTCTTCGCCGCGCGCATATAAAGTATTAATTTAACTATACCACAAACAGTCATTCGATTTTATCTCAAGAAAAAACGATTTCGCTTGCAGTGCACAACACACAAACTTACGTCACCGCTCTTTCAATCGATTCGACCTACTGCCTCTGTCTGCCCATGTTTTTGTAGAATATCGGTTCTCTTATTTATGGTAATCATCGGGCCATTAAAAATGACTGACCAACGGTTCGGGTTTTAAAATAAACTGGTTTAAAATATTGCGCGACGAAAATTAACATAATTGGAATGAATCTTTCAAGATTTCCTCGTGTCGAGGCGTCTATAAAAGAGCCAATTGGTTTCTTCGAATTGCAGTACCGATCGTAAGTTGTCCAGAAACGGGCGCTACCATGTCCCGAATTTTCATCTTTTCACTCGCTTTTTTGGCAGTGCTTCTCGTTAGTAAGTAAAAGGTTGTTGATCAACCCGAGTAGTCAAAGCCAATACTAGAGTGTAATACTAGAGAGCAATACCGAGTGAGTCACTGAAGGTTCTCCTTACGGAAGTTCAATGTCTAAATGTCGGAGACCAATTCAAATTTAGCCCGACTTCGAGCAACGACACCGGTCGCATGAGGATCAACCGGAACTGTCGCAAGCAATAACAGCACGATTTAATCTTGTTCAAGGCACACACGGTCAGGGGTGCGGCATGAACGAGAAGTTCACGTATTGTGGAACGGCTTGCGAACCCACTTGCCATACACCTTACCGCCACGTCTGCGATGAGGTCAGTATTCATTTTGATGTCGTGACATTGTATCTTATGTTCTGTTTAGTAGTTAGCAGTTACTAATTAGTTACTATCTAGTGCCTTATTCGTTTAAATATCGGAAGACTCGGAATCAAAGCGGAATGAAGAAAACGAGGGACAGTCGTCAAAGTAGATTTAGCCTTTCAAGTACAGCCTGAAATATTCATTAGTCATTATCTAGTCAGTCTATCTATACGTCCTTCTGTGTAATCACATTAATATTCAAATCGAAATTAAGAATACTACTCATCGAAATAAAATTGTCCTTTTAATACATTCAAAGGATTCATTTGGTTTAAATTTCTCTCGCATCGCAAGCATTTAATGTAACTTATGCTGTTTCAGCTATGCGTGGTCGGATGTCAATGTAGACAAGGATACCTAAGGAATGTTAAGAAAATGTGCGTCGAGCCCCAAGATTGTTAACGCCAGTGGACACCAAATACACTTTGTCCCTTATCTATGATCGAAATATCTACTTCCTCTTTGATTATCGTTACAAATGTAATGTAATAACGTACTAATAAAGAGAAGTCGAATTGCAACAAGTTTTCATCACCTCGGCGTATTTTTCAATTAATACAGCGTACGATGAATTATGGAAATTTATCGTGATATGGAACGTGTACCGTGACTGTAAAAAAAAATTAAGTGGTACTATTCTGGGATTATCCCAGAGATCCGTGCGTGTTGGTAGGAGTTTATCGAATAATATCGAGATATACACAAGGATGAGTTGGTACCCTTCGCAGATAAGCGATGTCGGACAAGGTTTCGTTAGTTTCTCGAAGGAAATTTGCATGCAATGCCATTACGTAGTAAAAATTTCTAACGGACATGAATATTACTCATTTTTTCCAGCTGCAATAACATTGTAACTTCCTGTCAAGGATTTTTAACGCTCGCAATATGTATGAACGCGTAACGAATGTAGGTTTTACCTTCCGCGTAAAATTATTAACGATAAGGCAACCTTGATGAACAAAGTTACTAAAGAAATTGCGGAGGAAGTAAGAAATTACCATTGATAATGAACTCGATGACTCTGCTTGAAATGTCCCTGTAACCAGGCGCAGTGTTTTTATCTGGGAAAAATTCAGGCAGCAAACATTTGGACAGGGATCGGCCGATTTGAACAATGATTATACACGTCGGAAATGAATTACGACCTCCTCAAACAACCCGGGGCTGTTCGCTATAAAAAGCTGCCGTTAGAATTTACCATTAGTAACTTGTTGAACTCGCGCGGTATTTTGCATCCATGCAGAATGAATCAGATCGTTGCGATGTCCTTTGTCGTGCTGTTTCTTTGTTTAACGTGTAAGTGTCTCGACGAAACACTTTCGAACAATAGGTTCATTTATAAGCTGTAGTATGTATTTCATCGTTTTCGAACTGAATAATTTCAACATTGAATTAGTAACATTTAAAACGTTCGTCACTTGGAAGCTCACCTGTGCTCTTCATTTACACAATTCCATGGGTTGCCAATTATTTAAAAATAGCACGACAGATGTTTCGTCTAACACTGAGTCTTTAATTTAGAATTAAATTAAAAAAAGATTCAGAAACTCAGATGCGTCGTTCTGAATGAGCTTCACGAGCTACTGAGCTAATTCAATTGAGGCCACAGCTGATTCTCAAAATCTGTGAATACGATAACGCTTATCGGAGTGAATAGTGACTATAGAACATTAAGAATATCAAATTTTCAGACTTACCGAATGACGTGCTGACTGCTCCAGGTGACACGAAGCCTTCTACTGGTATGTTTCTTCGGTAGTGAGGATGTTGATCGAATTATTAGTAATGCCCTGTTGATTCCTCGCGTTTTAGAGGGTCCGATCAAATGCGACCGAAACGAGGAGCCCACGGATTGCGTCGCGTGTATGCCAACTTGTGAACGTCCTTTTCCTGGAATATGTCAGGGACCAGTAAGAAAACGAATCTTCAATAATCGAGCTATGCGATCAAAAATATATTTCTCCTTAGATCTAACTGATGCTCGTTATAACGTTAATCCAAATTTATTTAAATATTTATCTTAATCATTTCATGTTTATTCCAGATCTGTAAACCAGGCTGCAAATGCAAGCCAGGATATTTGAAGGACACCGACAATGACTGCGTGTCGATCATAGGTTGCATAATCGACAATATAAGACGTGATCGGCCATGGTCGATTAGTGATTTCATGAAGCCTTTACAGAAAAAGAACAATTAACATTTTTCAATTTTCTTGAAACTGCTAACTAATTCGTAACTATAGTCTCCGATAGAAACGACTAGACTGAAGATTCTTGTGCAATCTCGATGCTTCATAATCAGGAATCTTGAAACTGTGTATAGAGTGCAATAAAATTTATATTTCTGTACTAACGATTTCAATGTCTTCAAAATCATGTAACGCATAAATTTAATTACACTTCTAATAAAGTTTCTATCTGATGTTTTAAAAATCCTCCACATGAATGCATGATATCTTTCGTATCCGAATTTTCGATTCCCGAAGAGCGAATTGCTTTTGGACAAATCCTTTATAACTTTATGTTTTTTAAGTTATAAAAGGAACGAGCGAAATTTAGTTTCTGCATACACCACGATAGATCACGTAAATATTTATACACGCGTTCCAGAAACGAAACGCGGCCAATTACTCGGTTCCAGCGGGTGGTTCGTCGTCGTGTCGGAGATCACGACCCGCCGGCCAGATCGAGGCAGGTTAAGAGCGCAGTGGCCCAAATATAGATCGATAACGGCATTATCGCGCTACGCTGGTTTCGATCGTGTTGCTCGTGTAGTGCGTGCTCGGATCAGAATTTCGGGAAAAATATTTACCGCGAGCTGCGGGAAAATTCCCGCGCGAGGTACGAAATCGTCGGTTATTATCTAATCGTGTTATTAATAATTATCGTCACAGTGTATTTACCGGCAGAGGTATTTCAGATTGCCGCGATTTGCAGACGAGGATTTTTTAAATTTCCGTAGAAAAATATTTACGCGTTGAAATTTTATATATTAGAAAGCAGGACAAATACATGAATTTTTGGTAATTTTAATAATCAAATTAATAATGGATTAATGACATTTTAAATAATAAATAATCGAATTCTTCCACTGTGACTTTCGATTACATTGTCAATTTTTTAATTATGAATTTATCAACATGACGACATTCGTTCTGAAAAGGTTAATTCGGAGATTTGCTTTCGGAAGTATTTCGTCGATATTTTTCGGTAATCCTTCTGGATGCTTTGAAACGATCGACACCCTTTCGTTGTCCCGACGGACCACCTAACCTGGGAGAAAGAACACCGGCCGCCACCTGTTTCGCATGCTTCCAGCAAACACTCTCGCGTTTCCAAGAAGATCTCGAGCCCAATCCAAACAGCGCAGAGCAAACGAAACCGAGGACGATTCGTATTAATAATTTGCATAAGATAAGTGCTCGTTTGTTGAGCATGAAAGATTTCTCCGTAATTCTCGAAATCGATGATGACTAATTCACGTACTTAATTAGCTCTCGGATCTGGTATACGATAATATGATTCATTCGCCTTGATTTTGTAAATTCTAATAGAGTACTTGATAAATCTGAGATCGTCTAGAGATATAATAAATTGAAGGAGTAAATGTCAATAAATATCAAATGAATTAGTTCTTAAATTATCCTTTCCAGCCACAGAATAGTAAATTTTAAACCTTGATCCTAAAATGAAGCTGCCAGGATCAGGCTGTTGAAGACGTACTCGTCTCTGTAGAATTTTGATTTTCCAACTGAAAGATTAACAGCTGTTTACAGGTTCATCGTAAACAATTAATTTCGGCAACGAGAACCTCGCGAATTCTGATTGAAAAGTCACCACGCCGTCTTCTCAGAAGCGAGATTAAGCGGTAGACACAGCCGTCGGCTGCAAAATCGGTGGCAGAGGTTGTTGTTTTGTCTCAGATACCGTAATCCGTCTACTTTTTGCTGAATGGAGGGTATTCCCATGCGACATTTGTGCTAGCGAATCAAAAAACCGTGATCTTCCGTTACGAGATGCTAAATCGAATTCGGTGCGAAATGTATAACGAGATCAGACCACGTTTTTCAAGCAAAAATCAATGTCTCTTAATTAAACTTCAACTTAATCATTCTTGGAATACCATAACAGCCACGATATCAAAAAAATACCAGTTGAATCATGCCAAGGTATTCAATGATCCAATAAATTAGCCGAAAATAACTGCCATACTCAGAACAGGTGATTAAGGTTTTTAAAAGCCAGATCAGAGAAGCTTTCCTAACGAACGTGTTAACTTAACCACGATGATAACGAGATAACATCGCGTGGGAATGTTATTTCCGCACGCGGTTATCGTATTCCGTAGAATTCTACCGCGGGGAACATTTTTATCGTTCAAGCTGACGACGTCGTTTCGGAGATGGTCTAATAAGACGCAAAACAGCTTGCTAACCAGCTGCACGAGGACGTTGCATAAGCTAGCGAAAGATTTTCTCGGTACTCAACAAGGCAATCTTGTCTGGAACAGGTTACGGGACTTCCTGGGAAATGACTCTCCACTAACGCGAGGGAAAAAGATTTTCTTAGATGAAATTACGAATTCGGGAAGGTGAAATGTGTGTGCGCTGGTCGAAGCGTATTGTATCTCTGTCTTATTACTTTATTTAGTATACCCACGAGATAGAGGCTATCGTGACAGATAATCAATAGTGTCGACTCGTAGGCGATAATCTTGTGAATCAGCGGGGTGAATCGCGGGTTTCAGAGGGATCTAGCAAAAATTGTGGAGCGGGCGACGCGGGAGACACGACGCGAAGGCCCAGTGGGCGCAGTATAAAACCAGCGATCGCCGAGTGGACGTCAGAAGACATTTCTTTTCGTACAGTGAATCAACATGACACGCGCAACAATTCTTCTTTTCTTCGTTGTTGCCATCGCATATGTGGGTGAGTATCATCGAATTTCAACGCGGTTCGCGCCAGAGTTTCATTCATTAATTCATTCATTAATGAATTTAACAGAAATAGTGTGTTTGATTTTAACTGTTTTGGTGGCAACTGACATTCGCTGTAGGGTACACTGTTGGTCGGAATTTGGGAATCAGTTGTTTATTTTGAATCTATACAATGTCTGGAATTTTCTCAAAAATACAAAAGCTCAATGTTTCCGGAATCAGCTGTTCAAATTCTTAATTCTTACCTTTTATAAAATAATGTAATTATTTCGCAATTAATCTTTTGCAGTAATATATATTGTTGTTAGGGAACATTGATATACCAAGAGTACTAAGTGTTTTCTTTTTATCTGAATGTTTTATAATATTCTTTAAGTTCCAACATTGTTTAAGGTTTCCTTTTTAATTGTGAATAAGAATCAGGAAGGTGCTTAAAATTGTATTTTATTTTTTACAGCCGCGTTTCCCGATGAAACGCAAGGTTCACAGGAATGCGGGCCAAACGAGGTGTTCAATAGCTGTGGATCACCGTGTGTGGACACCTGCGAGAGGAAAGCTTCGCCAATCTGTACAATGGTTAGTTCAATTGTCCATAACCATTTTAAGATCTCGAATTCGAGCGAATTATTTTGAAAGAAAGAATTTCAGTATTTCATATAACTTCATATATTTAATTTTTTATTCATTCATTCCCGTCATCTAATTTTATTTTTTGATTCCTTTTTCAGAGATGTGAAATAGGCTGTCAATGCAAACCCGGTTATGTCAGGAACAGGGAGAACAAATGCGTACTGACACGCGAGTGTTGATTCCGTGGACAAACTAAATGACAACTGTTGCATTTAGTTTAAATTTCTAATAGTTATGCACTGTAGAACACTTTCTGCCAGTCGTTATAACTGAAGAATCATTATCTGGGGATAATTATATTAATTAACATGTAAATTTACCTCGCATTGATTATTTTTGTTAAGCCAGTTTGTATAACACACATGATTAAAAATATTTCTATCTCCTGAAAAGTATTTTTGTCTGCTTCCTCGCAACCACAGCTTCCTCATCCTCCGTATACTAAACTGTCTGTTCGTTATTGTTTTTGTTTGACGCAACATGTGTGATCGATCACTCCGGATATCGCGTAGACTTACAGGAGCTCAAGTGCGTCGAGACAGATAAATTAATCGTTAAGTGCTAGTAATATCTTGGAAAAGTACGTTTACGTTGAAGAAATGATTTATCGGAGATGTGTAGTTCAATCACTAATTCATCAAACTCGCCTCTCTTTTTACATAGATAAGTTAAAAGTGATTCATCGATAACGTTTGTCCACGATAAGATTTGCGAGTTGCTGGGGCTCGTTGAGCCAATAGACGGACGAAACGTGGATGAAGGAACAATGGGTGTATTGAATTATTTGAATAAGCTCTTTAATTAGTAGAATCGGTTGCGGTACAATATTTTTCCTGAATGCTCGGTCCTGAGATTAATAACGCGTTGACTATCACACAGAGACATGATTCGACGTTTAATTTTTATAACAGCGTTCAAAAATTGTGTTCGAGGTTTTAAATGTGAATTGTTACTAATCGTCTACCATATCCCTGAATGAATCTTCGTTCACGAATTTTCTATGGTAGCCAATGCGATGAAGAACGTCCTTATTATTAGCATTGCGACTGCAAGACACACTGGTTATTGGAGTTTCTTACATATCCTGGTTTACACTCGCATCCGTCTCCCATGCATTCCTAAAGAAAGTCATCAAAATTTAAAGAAGTATTACTGCTATCAATGATTACAATATTGTCTCTCTAATTGTCTATGGCTTGGAAGCGCATCACGACAATTACGGAGGTAGACTCTATTGTCTGACTCTGTCTCATTCTACTGTGAGAGAAACAATATCATCTAAATTCGATAATTTAGTGTTCTATGTTGATACTTGACATTTTAACGTTTGAAAGAAATAATGATACAATTTTTAATTTAAGAACCAAAGTTGAAATGTTTTTAATTTAGTTTTGTGGAATAAAAACTGTTCAGACGTGAGATTCTATTATAGCAAAAAAAGTATATAAATTAGGTCTTCGTGTCAAGCATAAGACTAACCTCAATACAGTAAACATTTGGGTTTTTACACGTTGCCTGGCATGCACTTTTACAACTGGTGAAACGCTCGTTCGGGCCGCAACCCTGGGCGTTGTTCACTGAAAATGAACATTAAAATTTAACCAAAACTGACGAAAGATCAAGATGAATCTCTCCGTTGTCTATTCGTCGATACTCACAGGCAATGTAGGAAACGGCGATGAGGAGAAGAAGAATTACGTAGCGAGACATCTTCGGCTTCCGGTTTGAGCTCTGCTTCTTGTATATCGTATGCGACTTTTCAAATGCTTCTGATGTGAATCCACGAAGTGACCTAGCTTTTATATCTGTTAACCGACCTCTATCGCTTATTTATTACCACCGTTAATTATTCTACAAGTATTTACAATGTTATATTTTAGAACGTATCGCGTCTGAATTATTCATATTTTGCAGAAGAACACCTGTCATATTATTTACGCGGTAGTTTACAAACGACTTAGATAAGTTTTATCGCAGGATTCTGACTTCAGGGACACGGGGAATCGTAATTTTATTGTATAAAAAGAATCTCGGGTATCAACCGTGTTTATTCAAGAAATTTGGATAAGAAGGGTACAGTAAACCGCGTTAACAAGCGACAATTGTTCTCTCACGTAATAAACTTGCGGAAAGTGACAACAGTCTTGATAAGCTGTTGCAAGGTATGGGGAGCAAGGTCTTATTCAGTGACTTCAGCATAGGTAAAATTTGGATAAAGGAATAAGGGGTACACATTATAGTATCTCTTCACATTTTCGGTCCCAAGATTAATAACGCGTTGACTACTACAGTATAATGTAACTTGGCAATCAAATTTCAGCTGTCATTTGTAATATAAACAACTATTAAACAATACCATTTAATGCTAAAAGATGGAATAGCATATTTACATCGAGTGCCATTCATTTCCTGGAGTAATCAACACGATGAGCAATGATTTCCTAGTTAGCAATCTCTCACGTGGACACAGCGTCCCTTAGAGTTCCTCGCAAATCCATCGACGCATATGCAGCCAGGCTCTTTGCATACCTACAGAAAACCAGATGGATTTAAAATTCATAAGAATCTTCAATCGGTCAGAAGAGCATTGCCTCTCTACTTGTCCCTAGTTTGGGAGCGCATCGCGACAGTTACGCGAGCAAGCTGTGTAGTCTGACTTCGAGTGATTCTACCGTGATAAGCAGTACTAAGAAGCAGTTTCTACATTAATAACATATCTTTTAGATATTTAATACATAAATTAGTCGGATCCGAGACGAACAATTTAGCTTTTTTAAAAGAAATAATACGTAGGTAAGAGAATGTTCTCGTCCTGTACCAGACTAACCTCAAGACAGTTACTCGGTGGTTCGCCACATTTTTGCTCGCAACTGACTCCGCACCTGCTGTAACGTTCGTTAGCAGGGCACACATTACCAGCAATGTTCACTAATTAAAATAGAAGCAACAAGTGAATTAACTAAGATTAACAGAAGATGAAAAAGTATCGATACTCACAGCCGAAATATATGGAAATCATGAAAAGAACAAAAAGAACAGAACGAGACATCTTCGATTTCTTAGCTTCGTCTATCTCCGCACGAATTTTCAAACGTTTCTAATGGTGATACACAGGACGAGAGTTTTTATACTGAAATCTTATATTAAAATCGACCTCCGTCACTTATCGTTATCATTAATTACCATCCCAGCGTTTTCACCTCGCGAAGCTATTTTCCACGCGCCGCGTTTTGAATAATTCATTGGCCGCGGAACACCTGCCAAATTATTCACAGCATTCTTTACGACTGTCTTAGATAAATATTATCATAAGAAAATGGCTACAAGATAACAAATACAAAGTATATGAGTTTATAATGTATAAACAGAATCTCATATGCTACGTCTCATGGATAATCAATACTATTTAATATGAAAATGATTGACTCATATGATTGAGTATTTGGACTGAACAGGAACACCGAATGCATCAGCAAATGCACCGTTTATCGATGCAATTATTCCTTTTAAAAAGAAGCTCGTAAAAATGGCTGCGACGTTGATAAAGTGTTGCAAAGTAATACCTCATTACGCGACCAGAGCATACAATTATCGATGATTAATTACTACTAGTCGAAGGTTAAACTCAAAAAAATACGTAGTGTAGACCATACTGCGAAAACTCGCGTTTATTAATACTTGGACGACGAATCCTAAATCCATTCGAACTTAGCTGCAAAATCATTCAAATTCGTCAACTTAATTTCATTAATGTACTATGAATAACCCAATCACCTTTTCAATAAATCCTCATTCATTATGGTTCTCTTAAAATCTAGGAAACTGAAAACATCACTATCCACATAAAAACCTTTCTTAAAGAAATTAAGTCACCAACCATTTATACGATATTGAATTTTCATTAGCTACTTTCGAAAAGCAGAACTACCCTCGAAAACCATTCTTGAACAGAATCATCCAATAAAAGTTTCAAAACGACCATTAATACTAAAACTACCAAACAAGTTACAATGACCCATTCCTCATGTCTTCCATCTGAAATGATTGGAAAATAACAGTTGTTTCTCTGAGAAATTATATAAATCGATTTAGCAATACGCGAACTGAACTGCAAATCAATTAAAGTCTGAATAGATGCAATCTCAGTATTTCTATACAGAAATTTTAAAAAGTCAAGTTAATTGCTCGACAGTTTTAGTGTTAAACGAAACGAATTGAAACCAAAGAATAAATCTGTCGCGGTTCTTCCATGAATCAGCAGGACGATATTACCAAGCGACAAGTGTTATTAGATTGCAAGATAAATATTATATTTCCCACGGATTGCTCCGACATTAACGAACCATCCGATCGTTTTCGACGGGAGAACACTGCCTCGCGTCACCCCTCCTAGCGGCCGGTTCGTTTCGGCGCGGCCGCATTTGTCAAGGGAGGGAGGACGCGTTAAATTATCGGCCGCGGTCACGGGTTAATGTTGCGTACAGTAGGTTCTGCACGAGGCAGCTTGTCTATTCGGTGCTGCCTGCCGGGCAAACCACCCACCGGATTTAATCGCCATCGCATCGAATCTCCACAAACGTGACTTTTCCCGCGTAACGAAGGCTCCTAGGGGCGGATCGCGAAGCGCAAATTAGCAGTTCTCGCGGATTACTGATCCTCCATGAGATCTGCGCCCTTTGATGCTCCGCCAATTAAAAGTTCGTGAAAAACCCGGATGCTCCCAATAAGCTTCCACTAGCTTCAGCTGAGCGGAATGTGTGAACAAATCGCAGGAAACATACGACACTTGTGATGTTTACTTTATCATTCTGTTTCTCGGTTGAAAGCGTTTTGCAATATCTTCCAATCCTTATTTAACACCTGTGTTGGCAACCGAAAGGTTTACATCTGCTTCAACTGCATTATACTGCAGCTGCATATATTTTTCATGTAAAAATACAAAATCAACGTAGAAGTGATTCGAAGCAATTTTGTCAAATTTGCATGAACCTGTAAGAAATTCTATAGAAGAAAATATGAAAACGGACGTTCCCACTTGTTTCAATAATAAAATTGTTCTCCTTTAGTGACTTTATGTAATAATTATGGTGTCCATGTGTGATCGAGGTATTCAGATAAATAAAAGTATACGTATGAATAAAATTCTGATATGGATTAGCTAGTAAAGGATTCTCCCCGCATTGATAGAAATTTTTTAACGACGTCAGGGCAGATCTCGAACCCCTATAAATCGTTTTCCCCTCGAGTTTTCACTTTTCTCTGACGAGATACGGTCGCCGTGAGTAGCGTGCCACGTGCGAACGGTTTCATTGGCGACGAGGACCCTCACGGAGACACCGAATCGTCAGTTTCACGGGTTGGACCTGTAGGGGCGGCGAAACTCATGGTAGATTCCGGCGAAACCGAGCTTCCTTCCGGTCGGTTGCTTCAATATGTTCCACGGATAACGGGGAATGTCGACCGGCTACGGACAATACACCTTTCCAGATGAATCATGGCGCCGTCTTGTTGAGCGTGGATCGAATTTCAATCGGAGCCGCGCGAATAAAAAGATACCGGCACATGAAACCGCGGCACGTGAAACTTCTTCGCGAAATTCGGACAATGAATGGTTGATAAATATTGATGGGTTGAATCAACGTGTTTTACAAATGTTGCGGACGTAGTTTGAATATTTTAAATTTTAATTTAGAAAATTTCAGGAATATCTAATTCATAGTTCGAGAATTTAAATTTAAAATCTAGCAAATTTCACGAATATTACGTTCATATTTTAAAGGTTTAAATTTAAAAGTTATCAAATTATAATCCCCTGTCGCATAATATCAAATTAGATTCCTAGCAAAGGCTTCGGATGAAATTAATCTTGATCCTTTAAGCTAAAATGAGATAATCTTTTCTTTTATTTCTGTTAAATATAGAGTATATGGTAAAAATATATGGTTATTATGATACGCACACTGAATGATTTCGAGGCCAATGGAGCGCAAGAAAGAATTGCCAATGGCACACGGGATTTCGTAGGTGATTTTTACCGATCGCTTCATTTAACACCGATCCGATCATCGGAAAAGAGAGATCGATAATTTAGCCGGTATCGAATAGGTGTTACAAATGAAACCTGCTCAAGAATGATGACCCCTAAGCGTATAATAACGTCCCGCCGCGAGTATGAAGTATCCTCGCCTCTAACGGTCCATTTACGATGGGAAATTTCGTCTGCAATCTGCGCAGAAAGTCTGACCGAGCGAATCAGCGTCTTGAAACGCGATTTATGGAAATGGACGGACTACACAGAGGGTAGTCTACAAATCTCTCGCGAGTAGACGCTTCTTATAGATGCTACAACCTTTCTGACAACATTGGACAATCTTAGTACCAGAACTACCGACTATCAAATTAACTGTTTTGTATTTTCTTAGAGAAATGACAAAAAAATATTCCAGTTCTTGCTAAATAATCTTAATAATTTCTGAAAACAGAATTTATAAAATTCTTAAGTTCAATAATTTTAAAAAGGGAACCTAAAATATCGAAATATCTTGATCCATCCATTTTAATATTAACCCTTCGCACTCGAGAGTTTTTCATTGGAAATACTCATTCTCCGAGAAGATATTAGCAACTTTCTCTGAGACTAACTAATGAGAACATATACATAAATATAGAAACGAAGCTATTTTATTTCAGTATTTCACAAATCAAGTGTGACTGAGAGTCACCTTTCGAAGGTGCAAAGTGTTGAATTCTATGAATTTTAAATTGAATAAACGTTAAAATGAAACGCTTCAATTATGATTCAAACAAGCTAATGGTCAACGACGATC